GCTTTTATTAGCTAATCAAAAGCCTTTTAAATCATAGATTGCAGAGGAATTGGTGTTACAGACAAAGTGTGGAAACTTAAGAGCTTGTGAAAAATCTTCCAGCTGGTGGATTGAGTGGCTTATGTGTTAATTCAAACCAGACGTCTTGCAAACCAACTACCGTACTCAATATTAAAGGTCAAAGGCAGACGTTACGACTCGCAGCTAGCTTAGAGGATCAATGTACAAAAGTCAGGTTAATTAATCTTTGCTTTCTGTGAAGGTGGAAATCAAGCATCAAGTCACACACACAAATATCTAAATAGGTTTCAGTGTTTAATTTGCATGAACTGCTGCTGATGCCTCTTGATAGTCTTATTAAATACGCAGAAAAAAAAATCATCATAATTCCAGGCACAGAGCCTTCAGCGACACATAAAGACAATTACAAAGTTAGCCTTCTATCAGTTGAAGAATATTTTAGGGTCAAAGGACTAATGTTCCAAAAAGATCTAGAGAAACTCATTTATGCATTTGTTTTTAGTTGGATTAATTGCTGCAACAGTGTCCTCACAAGTCTGCCTGAAGATAATCCATCCTTCATCCAGAACGCTGCTGGTGGTGTTCTGACTAAAACCAGGACGATAGAGCACATCACCCAGTTCTAAAGTCTTTACTCTGGCTCCCTGCAGCTTAGAGAATAGACTTTAAAATACTGCTGTTAGTTTATAAATCGCTAAATGACTTATCTCTAAGATACAATAAAGATCTGCTGTTGTTGTATCAACCTTCCAGACCTCTCAGGTCTTCTGGTTCTGGTTCTGCTCTGCATCCCCAGAAACAGAACCGAACATGGAAAAGCAGCATTCAGCTTCTATGTACCACAAATCTGGAACAAACTTCCACAAAACTGTAAAACAGCTGAAACACTGAGTTAATTTAAATCAAGGTTACAGACTCACATATTTAAAATTGCCTTTGATTAATAATAAAATTCATTTGGACACAAAGCTGTATAGCTAATGCTAGTAACAATAATGTCACTTTCTCTTTGAATACAGGTATTTACTAACTGCAAGTGTGTATCTGGGGCTGATGGCCAAGTCAAACCAGGTCATTGTCCCAACAGCTGCTCTCATTATCTCCTCCCAGTCATACTGCTCATCTCTCTAGCTTCGCTGATTGCCTGCCTCACTCACAATCCACTGTACATGATGGTGCTCAGGTAAAGAAATATGTCGATGTGGGCACATACACAGACAAATTTGTTGGTATCTATGAGTTAAAATCTGCAGTAGCACAGATGTATTCTTGAAAAAGTCTGTCCTTAATTTAGGCACAAATATTGAGTTAAGTGGATCACACTGACTAAAAGTCATGTTTTTTTCTTCATTTCAGATGCGTTTCCTTTGACGAGAAATCATTTGCTATAGGACTTCAGTTCTTACTTATGAGAGTATTAGGTAAGTTCTACTTTTCCTAATTACATACTAGATAGAAAAGGATTATTTTTTTATATTTAAATAAATAATTAATATTAATATCAACATAAGATTTTGTCATTATGTAGGCTAGAGGAGGACAGATTTCTGCTGCTGACTAAATTAGGAGAATCTGATTTAAAATATAAATAACCAATTAATTAGAAAAGGTACTGCATAGTGGTAAAACCTGATATTCATACACTGAAGAAAGACATGTTTTTTCTCACTTTCTGAAGTTAAATCATATCAAACGTTTATTGTTTTAGATTACTTCAAATTACCAGAATTATTTCTGTTTGCTAAATGCCAGAAAATCTGGTGAGGATGTTTTCTTTTAGACTTATTTTGTTACTATCCTTGAACTCAGGCTTAAACTGCCTTTTAAAATGGTTTCATTTTGGAAATAACATTTTGGGCATCAAATACAGTTTTATACTTAAGTATGTTTTTTTTTTTTTTTTTGCTTTTGGGGGAAAAATGTGTTTGTGTCTTTTTATTCAGTGTATCTAAATATCTGGTTTCAATACATATTTGGATAAATTTAGATATTGCACAGTTTGGGTTTCCTTTTAATATTTTTCAGTAAGATGTACTGTTGCTTTTTTTTTTTTTTTTTTTGCACAACTGCTCACTCAAAAGTTTTTATTTAAGTCCTTTCTTGATTGTCAGTGTTGGATTTTGCAGCATCAGTTCTTGCAGGCCAGACCAGTTGGGTTCAGATTAAATACCAGTGCATTAGCTGATCTTAAGCATACAGGAATACAAACCGTTTGAGTGCTGTCCTCCAAAACTCACGCTGCCTCCGTCACTGTTAGCCTGGCTTCCGGCTCCAGCGCTCTTTGGGACGGCCATCGACATGTCTTGTATCTGGTGGAAAAACGTGTGCGGAAGGAAGTTCAGCTGCGAGTACTATGACAACACCCTCTTCAGGAGCCGGTGGGAACATTTACGACTGAATAAATGTATGCCTGCACTTTGAACGTATTCATCGTGTTCACTAATGATCATTTACCTTACCCCTGCAGATACTTGGGTTTACAGGTGGGTTATAAGATCGTAGGCATCTTCCTGCTGATCATCCTGGGTTGGAAGGCAAAACGGACCCAGGAGTACGATCTGGAGAAGAAGCCCGAAATCTGAGTGTGATCTGGCTGAGACTCGTCTCATAGCGACGCTGTGAGGTTGGAACATTTTGAGGAAGACTGTTCCTTGGAAGGCTGCATCTATAATAAAGGATGAAATTACGATTAAAAACTGTTAAATATCTTTGAACATTACGTGTTCGTGTTAGGCTGGAATGGACTTGGGTTTCTGTTTGCATTGGCAACATACTCTATAACTAATGAACTATATAGCTTAATATTTAAGTTATTTTCTACATATTTGTCTCATACCCTGAGACATCATTAACAACACCAAGAATGGTTTCATGTATAATCGTATGTAACTTTTTGATGAATTTTCAGATATTAAGCACCTACACCTACCTTTTATATTTTTAAATAAAATAAATTATGCACCTAAATCATGCTGTGTACAGATCTGGTCATTGAACATGTTCTGTGTTTTGCCGTTTGTCCGTTTAAAAGCTGCTTTGAGATTTTGTGAAACTATTCATCTCTTAAGATCAGCTAGCAGCATCTGTTGCTTCGACAGGGTGGCGGCTGCATCATCCTGTAAGAATGAGTTTCTTCAACAGGGAAGTTTATCAGAGACATAAAGATAACTGTTCAAAATAAGAAATATTTATCCCATGCAAATTTTCTTTTCAGACATCACCTGCTTAATAAACACAAGTTTACCTTGACGTTTTTTTTTTTACAGATTCAGAAAAAGAGTCAGCAAATATTGTGACAAAAATACCCAATAAAGGGGCCTCTGATGAGACCCTTCAATTCAAATAGTTCTGAACTGTATAGTGAAGATCTTGTTAGTGAAAAATTGTTTGTGTAATGTTCTTTTTTTTCCCCTTTTCCCTATAAAGAAAGATGAATGAATACAAAAAATAATTGTATTTTAGCCTTCAATGTGACACTTCATTTCCCCAGGCTCTTAGCAAACATCAGAACATACTGATGGTTCAAAAGTTGGATAGATTTTCTCCCTATAATGAATCAAAATCATACGTAAAAAAAAATGCATTTTTATATTGTACGGTTGCCTTTGTCTGGTATGGAAATTTATTTGATGTTGTGAATCATTGGATTAAAAGATTATACATTTGTGAGAGGGCAAATACTTTTATTATTGGAAACATCCCTGCAGGTTATGCTTTTACCAAGCAAATCAAATGAGCCAATCTTAAACAACTTAACTCTATTTAAGTTTAATTAGATTCAGTAGAACCCAACATTTTAACATGGGTGTGTAAACTTTGAGAGCTCTTGAAATGTATCTTGGTGTGCCAACCGTTATTTACTTTCCGATTCTCAAATTGGTTTCTGTTTTTGTGTCCTAGTATTTTGATAGTTTCCCTCCAGTTACATCCATAAAAGTTCGTTTTATCTATATTAAATCGCCATCTCTCTCCTCTCCATTACACATGACGTCATTTTATTTTCATGGCTGTCAGTCGTTTGAAAATGCGCATGCGCGTGGGCCCGCCTAAACACTCCCCCCTAGCGTCACGGAGCGGGCGGTGCAGCATCAGCGGCTCGTGCCCATCACGAAGACTCGAAGCTGGAAAATCGCCGCCCCATTCCGTCGAGCATCTTCACCAACCGAGCACCGAAGTCCTGTCATTCTGTCCTCCGGCGTCCGTAGTCGGCCCCCTTCGTCCTCCTCAAAATGTCCGTGGGTAATGACTTTGGGAACCCTCTAAGAAAATTCAAACTCGTCTTCCTCGGGGAGCAGAGCGGTAAGAAATGCTTTTATTCACGCCAGAAGAAGTTCGTGCTCGGTTGTTTGTCAAGTGAACTCGCTGCACCTGCTGGTCAGACGACAAGTTCATGGACATTTAGCTAGCTGCCGTGGCCGCGGGGCGTCTCTGTGGGGGTTAAGGGATGGGAGCCAGAGTAGGAGACGGACTTCAGCGGTGAAATATGCGCTTCCCAGTTTGTTAGAGAGTGAGTGTGTGGGAATTAGGGCGTCACTTTAATGGAAACACCGAGCAGTCTGAAGCGCAGCGTTGCTTGCTTGGTTGAAGTTTATAAAGGACTGGAGATGCGGTGATATCCGCCTCTAGTATATCGGTTAAATAACAACCCGGAGCACCATCACAAGTCATGGTTTGTAGAGTGAAGGGAGGCTGAAAACGGCGTGGGGTGTGACGCTGCTGTGGATGATACAAGTTGTTTGTTTCTTCTTTTTTTTCTGATTCCGATATTCCGGTGTGGAGACACACCCAGGTTGTCAGCGGCGGTGAGATAACTTGTATGGCTGCAACCTTTGTCCTTGGTATTGTTCCAGACTGACCAAGTTCGTATGTTTTTGAACGCTGACCCGCCTTCTGATGTACATGTTAGTGGATGAAGCGCAAAGTACTGAATGATGAGCATCGTCACACCTTTTGCAACTCTCTCTTTCTCTCTCTCTCTGATTCATCCGTGTCTTTTCCTGAGCTCTGCACTCCATCCAGAGCTCTATATGCCCACACCCTCAGACAACCAACAGCGTCTCATTTTCTAAGGCAACTAAATTGTTTTCCACAAGATTACACTTAAGCTGGGCAGGGACGCCAAATTCTAAATCTCCAGGTTTTAATTCAGCCTTTTCAACAGGGCACGTCTGTTTTTTTTTTATGTTTTATATGGTCTATTTCTGAGGTCTTTAGCAGCTAAATGAACCCCATTAGTCATGGCTCAGTGCTCAAGTCTTTTCTATTGATCGTACATTACAGCGGGGTCATGCATTTTTATTAAATAATTGTAATAATAATAATAATTGTACAAACTGTGGATTGTATATAATCTGAAGAGTGTTTGTCAGGCAGATTAATTACAGAACACTGAACATGTCTTAACCTCTCCACATGGAATAGACAGGCTGTTGGTACCAGAGAGATTTAGGTAATTATTTGTTTAATTAATGCAAGGCTGGCTAAATTAGTTATAATCTGGACTAGGATTATCCAACCCTGGTCCTCGAGGGACATCTTAGATTAGTTCCTTCTCTACCAGAGCTGAATTATTGACTGAACTACCTCCTCAGTATGTGATAAAGTTCTGCAAAGGCTGAGTAATGAAGCAATTATTTGATTCAGATGTGTGGAACTGGGAGAATTTGACATTTTCAGGACCCTGGCTCCACAGAACTGAAGTTGGACACCTCTACCGTAGAGTGTCAGTATTTATAGAGAGGTAATTTATGTTTTTCCTATTGTAAATTGGTTACATAAGAGACTGGATGTCGGTCAGTCTCTTCTGTGTTGCAGATACATGCTTATTTATCTGCAAAACTTTTCTCCCTTTTAATAAATTAAATCAAAATACCACAAAACAATTTCTGAATTTGGAATCCATAGAAGAAAAGTACAAGTAAAACATTCCCAGGTTTTTTCAGTTTAAAGAGTTTTCTTTTGGTGGATAAGACCAAAAAAAAAATTATTGGAGTCAATAATTCTACTACGGTTCAACCACCTTCAAATATTGGAGGTGGTTGAACTTTTTCACATCTTGTCTTGCTACAAGCGCAATATGCGGTATTTCATTGGAATCATAGACCAACACAGAGTAGTGAAAAGACTGTGTCAAAACTTTTGGCTTTCAGTCAAAATGCTGTGTGTGGCAGAAATGCGTGGGGAAGCTGGTTGGGGTTGATGAGAATTATGATGGAGCTAAATAGAGAACAGTACTGGAAGAAAACCCTTCAGAGGCTGTGAAAGTTTCAGGACTTGAGCAGTGCTTCATTTTCTCACAGGACAACAGCCAGAGCTGCAGTGGATTGTTTTACATAAACACATATTCAGAATGTCAGATGGCCTAGTTAAAGTCCATATCTAAAGGGAGAATGAGTGATTTTAAAAATGCTCTCCATCCAACCAGATTGAGCATCTGCTCTTTTGCTAGAATACCTAAAATTTTTCAGTTCGGTCTCCTGCCTTGGAGAGCTGTTGGAGACAAAACACAGAATACTTGTAGTTTTAACTGCTACAAAAGGTGGCACTAGTAATATTGATCTTGGTGCTAGTATCGATCCAGGAAGGCTGAATAAAAATGCATGACATAATTCTTCAGTTTCTGTTTTGGTTTTATATTTCATAGTAAAGGAGGCGATATGGAATTTTAACATGATATTTTGTGGTACTATTTTGATAATGATTATGCCTCCAGTTAAGTATGATGTAGGATCTGTGATGCTATGGGCCGGTTTCTCTTCCAAAGGTCATGGGAACTTTGTTGGAATGTATGGCATGTTGAACCACCAGAACATTTTAAATAAAAATCTGGTGGCCGTTGAAAGGCCAAAACAGTGCAGCACTGTGGATGATCTAAGATGATTGTGCCAAAGATCCCTCCTACTGCATGCTCCATCCCCTGTTAAATGTTGAGGAAGATCAAATAGTTTCTTCTGGCAAAATGGCTCATACAAAGTGTTAACAGGAGTGGTACCAAGTAGAAGACAACTGGACTTCTTTTATAACTTGGCTGTTGCCTTCCACTCAAAAAAAATCTTGTTTCCAGCACAGTCTGAGCTTTTTCTCTTTTACTTGGATTCTCCTCACTGGACCAATCAGCGAACACAAGGAGAAGTTACAGATGATGACGTTGTAGTCTGCCAGTAGTTTTGGCAATGGCAGCAGAGGAAGGGAATGCTCTTGAATGTTCTTGAATTAACATTAACAGTCATCTTGGTCACATCAGCACTTCTCTCTTTGAAGGGGAGGATGGTCAGGGAATTTCCAGTAAGATTCATAATGTTGAACTGGCCCATTACGTACGTCAAGGACAAACGTTAGCGACTGGGTAAAATTTAAAACCTAAACATAGCCCACACCTCCAGGAAGAAATCGTTTCTCAATAGCTGAGAGTCCAGACCTCTCGGCTATTGAGCAGGACAATGGACTGGTTCTTACCAGGCTGCTAATTTTGTTTCTTGAAGACAATTCACCTCTCCTCCAAAATACACTCTCAGTCCTGAACATTGTTTGGACATTAATGTCGCTGATGAGGCCGTTACTGGTCCTACCCTCCATTTAGCTCAGTGTTTGGGTTGTTGTTGCCTGACAATTCAAATATGTCTCTATGGTGGCCATGTAAGTTGGAACTGCTATAGACCTCCTCTAGAGAAGAGTCAGGCCTGCAGAGTTGTTGTTAGAAAGATGAAATCTGAAGTAGGCCTGTCACAATAAACAATAAATCAATTACTCGCATGATAAACTAAAAGAAACTCAATCATTTTCATTTGCTCGATTTATCGTTTTTCTTTCTTTTTTTTTTTTTTAACCAAAAACTGAGTGATAAAAGTCGTCAGTCTGGTGCTTTGGTCTCAACTAGCCCTTTTTTGAAAGATAATTTTGTTTACAGAGATTTCATAATTTATTTTGATTGTTGTTTCTGTAGTTTTTTCTTTATTTATTTTGGATATTTCAGTT